AAACGGTTATTCGCGTAGCGAAGCAATGGGAATAGTATACCTTCAAAAGGCGAAAAATGCTAAGAGAATTTATGCTATATGTCCGCATATAAAATTAAACAACGACGGTTATAAAGAAGAAGGAATAACACATCCATCCTTGCTAATGCAAAATACTTTACTAAAGGAATATTACAATGAATGCGGAATACCGACATCTTGCTTGGATTATTTTGAAACACATGGTACCGGTACCAAAGTTGGTGATCCACAGGAAGTCACTGCTATTTATAACAATTTGGGTAAAAATAGAGAAACTCCATTAATGATCGGCTCCGTAAAATCCAATCTTGGTCATGGTGAACCTGCGAGTGCTTTTATTCAAATCGCTAAGGTAAAAACAAGTGTGTGGCTGCCATTTTTATTTATTACTATAGAATTTGCTTTTATTTTACCCACAATAATTTTTCAATCACATACACGTATATGTATATGTACAAACAGAAGACTTACTTTTTTGTAAAAATTATTCGATAAGTCACAATATTGTAAATACAAAAATTTGTTAAATGACATTGCGAGAATCATTTATTAAATTCAACTATCATTGAAATCAACATAATGATAATATTGATAATATATGTCTAAATAACTATTAAGTCAATGACTATTTGATCATATACGAGTATATATATATATATGTATATGTCGAACAACACTCTCAACAAGCCTTTATGAGCCAACACTAGATTTTAATGTGAAAATTAAAATTACATGGATGTACAATATAGTACAGTACACAAGTATACATTTCGATCTTTGGTTGAGGTCCTTTTCAATACATTGACACCCCTATTAATTGTCCCTATCTCAAATATAACATTATAGTCAAGTCCTATTGCATCCTGGTCATCAAAATGGTAAATTTGCTATATTATACAAAAACATACATTTAAATTTTTACTTATATCAATAAAAACAGTACAAACATTTTTAAAAACAGACTTACAAGATTGACAGAAATGCATGGTTATTCATTTGGTACATGTTTCAGTGGACTGCTGAGTTCACTGCAACGATGTCAATCAAAATGAGTAAACTGTCTTTAATAAAGATCATCTTAGTTACGTGCAACACCAAGACGAATTAAACATTTTTTCAGTTCAGCAGATAAAATTCAACTGGCAACTCTCGATAAACAGCAAGCCAACAAAACATGTACTTACAAAGTCAGTGTTATAAACAAAAACATAATAAATATAAGGAATGAAAGCATTACTTCTCCGAAAATAAATCCATATATAAATCATTGAGAGACATTGTATCGTTTTGTAAATTAAGACCCGATTTTTGTCTTTTTATATATATCATTTCAGATAACAATCTTTTGTGCCAAATTTTTTCTCTTTGTTTGATTTAATCTGGTGAGCGCGCGCGCGTACGCCTTGAAAGAATATTTTTATTTTTATATATGTATATGTGTCACCATATTAATTCAATATTTAAATAATTCA